GCACCAAACCGAGCGGGGACGGTGCGGGTGACAGAACAGGCTCTGCTGAACTTGTCCTGAGACTTCACCAAAACCAAAATAAAAATAAAGTTGTTTTTGTTTTTTTTCTGAGACATGGACCCGCAGCACTCGAGGGCTTGGGGAAGCTGCCCTCTGGGAATGTCTCTAGAAAGCCAGTGTCTTAGGAGACCCGCACAGTTCTCCAACAGCGGCTCCCCGCGAACCGCAGAGCTTCCCACTGCGCGGGAGCCGGCAGCACCTGCTGCTGCGGTGAGAGGCTTAAACAGAAATTAGGTGTCCAGCTCTCCTTTCCCATTTTACACTCTTTGAGTGACTGCGTTTCTTGCTGTTAGAGGCATTTTGAACCAGGGAACCCAAGGCAGAATTAATTGGAGGGGTACATTTCGGATAAAAGGATACTGAAGCCTGAATTCTTCCATCGCCTTTTCTCTTTGACCCCCAGAACTTTTGTGGCCAGACTAACAACTCTTAATGCTCAAATAAGAGAATTCTACACACAGAAGGAAAAGTGCACAAGTTGGTCACAGTGATTTCAGTGATTGCTTCTGGGAAGAGAAATAAACTTAGTGTCTAAGGGGAAGAGTGAGGAGACCTTACTATGTTTTTGTTATTTTTAAAATGTTCATGTGTTGCCTATTTAAAAATGAAATATACTTTTTTAAAATGAACATATTATTTTAAGACTCAGCAGTTCCTCTCCCAGGAATTTATCTTTTAGATAGATCTACATACATATGAAAATAATGAAAGTACAGTACTATATGGAAAGATACACGTGAAGCAGATAAAATTGGTTGCCTTAATAGAGGGAGTCTGGATGCAAGATAAAAGTGGATTGAGAGGGGCTTTTTCGTTGTATAATCTTGGTATCTTTTAAACTTCAAATATTATCAAATGAATGAATTTTAATGTGGACACAGTGGTAGTGGAGATTCCGATGTTGATAATATCCTGCAAAATTAAAATTCTCTTGTAAAAGGAATGCTGCATAACAGTTCCTAAATTTCAGTGGACTTAGATCATTTCATGGTCATGGTTCTTCAGTTCAGCTGTGATTTTGGTCTTAGGTGGACTAGGCTGGACTCTGCGGAGTTCAAATCTACTCCATGTGTCTTCATTCTAGGACCAGGCTGAACATGGAGAACTACTGGAGCATGTTTACTTGTGGCTCAGTGAAAATTCAGAAGGGTTTCTAGGAATTTGCCTTGTCTCCCAGTAGAAGTAGCACATTGAAACACCTACCTTTATTCTGTTAAATCAAGTCACATAGCCAAACTCAGAGTCCCTAGAGTAAAGATGTATTATTTGCTTACTGGGAGGCACTGCAAAGTCACATGCAAGGGTGTGGATACATGTTTCTTTTACAGGGAAAGGGAGATAAGAGTGATGATGAAGGAAATGAGTTAACAGATGCAAAGATATTCAGTTGAGGATGGTTGAGAATAAAGTTGCTTACAAAAATGTGTGTTAATGTATATTTTCTAAATTAAAATTGCCCAAGATATAGCATCCTACTTTAATATGAGATATCTCAAGGCTTCCATGTCAAGGTATCATGTTTGGTTTATCTTATATCTGCCAGTCCTGCCACCCTGCTTTGTAATCAGTTCTTAGCATTGGTAGAAACATTTGTTTGGCTAAATAATATACATATAAAGACACCAGTTTTTAAAGATATAGTTCTGAATGTGTTTATTTCAGCTACTGAATTTGTTCATTCTTAGTTCTTATGTCATATCCATGTCTGACAACTCACCTTTCACAACAGAATCTTCTTTTCAGGGAGATGTCCTTTGCTTCTCAGATGTAATGCACTTTAAGTTTATTATTCAACAGTGAAAATGAGTCATACAGAGGTAATAATATTTTCATATGTTATGTATCTTCAGGTTTCCTTTTTAAAAAAAAAAACTGTAATCATAATCGGAGTGCTTTTCTTATTTTCAACTTGCACTGTGAGAGGCAGTACAGTATTCATAGTTAATAAGAGTAAGGACTGTGGAGCAGACTGCCTGAGTTTGAACCCTAACTAGTGGTTATAATACCTTGGGCAAGTTACTTAATCTATTGTGCCCTGGTCTATAAAAATGGGAATAATAGTAGTACTTGCCTCATAGAATTATAAGAAAGGTTTAAATGAGTTAATACATATAAAGCACTTATAGTACCTGACACACTTAAATATTAACTTTTATTAATAGCATTAGTTTTTATTTGGAGGCCATGATTTGAATCTTGAGTCTCTCCAAACAAACATGTATAGTTTATTCACTTGTCTGAGTAGTCAAGGAAGTAATTTAATTCCTTATTCTCTTGAATTTCAGGTTAAGTTAAAAATACCTTTTGGAAATAAGTTGCTGGATGCTGTTTGTTTGGTACCTAGCAAGAGTTTAACATACGGAATAATTCTTACACATGGAGCATCAGGAGATATGAATCTTCCTCATTTGATGTCATTGGCGTCCCATCTTGCATCTCATGGCTTTTTTTGCCTGAGATTTACCTGTAAAGGCCTTAATATTGTGCATAGAATTAAGGCATACAAAGCAGTTTTGGTAAGAAATTTCTTTATATTTACTTTTAATAAGATTCTGTTTAAAATTTTTAATAAATTTAAGACAGTTTTGTTAGCAGTCATTTGGTTTTATTAAAAAATCTTTTAATGAGTATCCTTAGAAACACAACAGTTAAGAAGGCCATTTAGTGGTCAGATTTGTTGATTTTTTGCCATTAGTTTCCATGGAGATGAATGCACACATCAGAAATGTTCCCCCATGCTACTGCCCAGAAAATTATTTAGTATTTTCTCACTGAACTCATGTAACTTTATTATAGTTGTGGCATTCTAGACTGTTTCACCTACTGTGCAAATATGATGGTGTTTTCTATATATGTTTAAGAATATTGCATAAGATTCCTAGATAAAGCTCAAATCTGAAATTTCTTTTAATCTAAATTATTTCAAAATAAGCTTGCCAGGTTTTTTCAGAGATTTAAATTAGATATTAGTATTATCAAACTAGAAGCCCTTACTGGCCTTTTAAAATTAATTTGTTCTTTAACAATAGCTCAGTGCTTGAATATTTTTATAAAGGGTAATATATAGGTATATCACATCTTTATATAAAGGTAAATTGATATTTTTTTATATATTTGTGTTACCCAACGTGATTTGTGATTGTCTTTGCATAGATTTTCATACATGTTAGTAATGATAAGAAATAATGTGTCTTGGCTTTCTGGTAGAACATTGTATAGGAGAAGAATTGATAATTTTTTGGTTGATTTGTCTAGAATTACCTAAAGACCTCAGGAGAATACAAACTTGCAGGTGTTTTCCTTGGAGGTAAGTTGCAATACTTGTGAATACTCGTTAGCTATCCATTTTAATATTAAAAATAGTTGATTCCAGGAAGGTAATTTAAGGCTTTTTGTTTGTTTTGGTAATTGGCCTCCTTGGTGTATTTTATGTATTTTAAGCAAATTTAAACCTTATTTACAGTAATCTAAGGAACTCTCTTTTTTTTTCCCCTTTATTTTTGGTACCAGGGATTAGACCCAGTGAGCAGTTAACCATTAAGCCACATCCTCAGCCTCTTGTATTTTATTTAGAATAGGGTCTCACTGAGTTGCTTAGGGCCTTGCTAAGTTGCTGAAATTGCTTTGAACTTACAATCCTCCTGTCTCAGCCTCTTGAGCCACTGGGATTACAGCCATGTACCACTGTTCCTGGCAGGAACTCTCCTTTTATTTATATCTTTGACTCTCTTGCAAATGTTTCCTTCACAGATTGTCCTCATATTTTGAAGTTTTCTTCAGAAAAATAATTGCTTTCGGGGGAAGGAGTACCAGGGATTGAATCCAGGGCTGCTTAACACTTCATCCCTAGCCTTTTATTTTTTGAGAAAGGGTCACATTTCTGAGGCTGGCTTTGAAATTGCAATCCTCCAGTCTCCGTCTTCCAGGTTGCTGGATTTATAGGCATGCACCACCATGCCAATAAATAATTGCTTTATTTAAATGTGATTTTAGCTTTTCATAAGGCTATAGTTTTCCATTATGGGAATTGTAACTTGTTAGTTGCCACCTTTTAGAGCTAAGAAATTTTTTCAATGAACAAATACAAACAGTAAAATCCATTGCTGCTACTTTATGTAAATGTTTCTATTTCAAACTGAACTGAATTTTAATTGATTTTATTAGGTCGTTCAATGGGCTCAAGAGCAGCTGCTTCTGTAATGTGTCATATTGAGCCAGATGATGCTGATGGTTTTGTTCGAGGTCTCATTTGTATTTCTTATCCACTGCACCATCCAAAACAGCAGCATAAACTCAGAGATGAAGATCTCTTTCGTATAAAAGATCCTGTACTGTTTGTGTCAGGCTCAGCAGATGAAATGTGTGAGAAGGTGAATTACAACTTGATGTTTGTTTAAATGAGAGTGAATGAGATATTACCTGCAAAATTCAGTCTCCTAAAAATATGCTAATTTATCTAATGCTAGTTTTGTGCCTTTGTCATCCTGTTGCTCTAGAGAAAGTAAAAATAGCAGTATGCTGACAAAATCCATTTCTCTGAAAAGAGGGTTGGTAAATGGATTAGCCCTTATTTGGAAAATGAAGGATTAATATCCAAATGCTCTGATTTGGAGATTATGAAGTTGTACTTTGATTTGTCATTTCATCATTCATGCAGATTGTTATAAAATTGACTTGAGAAAGGGTTGGCAGTGTTGGCATATTAAATATTAGCCCAATATTATGAAACGTCTTTGTGTTTCCCAGAATATATAATTTCCTTGGGATTTTTTTTTTGGAAGGGGTTTAATTCACTAAACTCTTTATTATTGTTGGTAATTGATCCATTCTGTGTTATCATTCATTTCCTTGTGCATTCCATAGAGTAGGTATTAAATGAATAGTTGGTGAGTGAATGCAGTATGGGGGGGATCTTTTATTAAACAATACAGCATTAGTCTAGTATCCTCTTCTTTTTCCTCTTAGAACTTGTTGGAGAAAGTGGCACAGAAAATGCAAGCTCCCAATAAAATCCACTGGATTGAGAAGGCAAATCATTCCATGGCAGTGAAAGGACGGTCAACAAATGATGTTTTCAAAGAAATAAATACACAGATTTTGTTTTGGATCCAAGAAATCACTGAAATGGACAAGAAATAATTGTCATTAGTTAAAAGCCATGTTATTTTGAATACAAGTACAGTTAATTTGATAAAGAATAATATACCTCTCAGCATTATGAGATATATTTCAGACTAATGTTCTTTAATGTTGCCCTATTTTTGAAACACATTTTAATTGTGAAAATAATATTCTTTACAAAATGTCTTTTGAAAGCACTGTTATAGTTGTATGAAGATGATGTACAAATATTAAAGGTGGTCTAAATATAATTTATTTTCACTAGTATAGTTAAGCTTTGAAAAAATTAAACTTTTGAATTTTGTTACAACAGTGCTTTTGTCTTACTGATATGCAACTGAAAAAAAGTAATTTTATAGAATAGTGTCATCCTTAATGAAGAGAAATTGGGGTGGGGGCTGTAGCTCACTTGCCTAGCATTTGTAAAGCCTTTAGTTCAATTCCTAGCACTACAAAAAAGAAAACTACCTGGGAGCGATGGCACATTCCTGTAATCCCAGCAGCTTGGGAGCATAAGGAAGGAGGATTGCAAGCCTGAGCAACCTTAGTAAGACTCTGTCTTAAAAAATAAATTGGGCTGGGAATGTGGCTCAGTGGTTAAGCACCCCTAGGATCAATCCTTGGTACCAAGAAAAGGAAAGAAAACTAAAAAGTTAATTTACTATATTAAATCTAGTCAGATTTATGGAGTTGTATACATCTCTACCTAGGAAGGTAGGAATGGAAATGCATTTCAAATGTGAGACCCTGAACACTTTAAAAAATGAAGTAACAACTTTCATTGAAGAAGCTTTTACTGAATATGTTAAAAGTGAGGCTACATAGGGTTGCAAAAAAAGTAAAACTTACACCTTACAACATGGTGCATGAAACCAATAAGTAGACCACTGTCTGATTAAGAAGTTAAATAATGGACTGCATGGTAGGACTAACATAATATGTAGGCAGAGTTGGGGCACTTAATTTTTGTCTTGGGAAATTCAGGTATCTCCTGAACTGAACTTGAAATGGTATTGAGATATATAAAATCTAAAATACAAAAATAATGAAGTTAAATTTATAAAGAAAGTGTGTAGCAAGGAATGGTTTTCTATATTAAGAATTTACTCTAGCCTCAGATGATGTGGTCAACTTGTAGATTTTTGAGGTTCCTCTTCCTGCCATGGCTAAAGCAATGAATTTAATTATTTTATTTTAGAAAATATTGCATAAAGAATGAAAACCTAGGTAATAGCATCCAGATCATTCATGTTATAGAATGAAGTCAAGTACAACTACAAATCCAAAACTCCTATATCTGCTCTGAGACCAATTCATTTCCTGAAGAAAACCTAAATTAAAAAAAAAAAATAGTTAACAGTTCATATTTAAAATGATATGGGTATGAAAACAATCTAGATGTCTACATAATCACTGATCTGTTAACAACTACAAATCAACTGGGGAATAACACTGAGAACCAGAAGTAAAACTAATCAAAAAGACAAAGGACAACTTATTACAAATTAAACATACTATAAAATACTATGACAAATGGATTTTAAAAGTTATTAACAAGGCTATGCAGTTATAAGAAGGCTTACCAAAGATTATGGAAGCCATTATATAGCCTTCACTGGTAGGCATTAATTAATGATGCAGCTGCTCATCTAGTCCAGTGCCTTCCAGCTGGGGGTGATTTTTGCCCTCTGGGGACATATGGCAATGTCTAGAAACTTGTCACTACTGAAGTGGTGCTGTGACATCCTATAAGTAGAAGAAAAGGATATTGCTGAATATCTTACCATGCAGGGCAACAGCTACAGCAAAGAAGTGCTCCACTCCATTCAAGATGTCACTAGTGCCATGCAAAGTTCTGTCCTAGGCATACCAGTTTCGGGATTATCTTTAAATGCTTTCCTTATTACCATTAGCTCCTCCACATGCCCTTTTGTTTCCTTTTGGTTGCTAAATCTTGGATTTTCAGGGTCTAAAATTCTCTTGCTTCCATCTCTTTGCTATTGGTACCACCATCATTCAGTTGAAGCCTTTATCAATTTTCATCTGTGTAATTGCAGTAGCCTAATTGATTTTCCTCTTATTGTCTCTTTGCTTTGATTAATAAATTGATCTTACCAACCCCAATAGCACCCTATCAACAGTTTAGCCTTTTTCCTCTTCATACTCAAACCTGTTTCAGCACTATAGCTACCTGGATTACAAAAAGCTTTTGTATAAAGGAAAATCTGTCTTACTGAAACTTTTTGATCTTTGCCTGTTCTTAAGTGCTACTCATCCTTAAAACAGTTTTTTCTCTCTTTGCAACTTTCTTTGAATGATTTCCAAAATAAATATCTTTGTCACAATCTGCATTCCTATTATTAATTGCAGCATCCTATTTGTATTACAAACTCCAACAAGTCAGGAACTATATTTCACTTGTCTTTGAAGCACTTTTTTGTTCTGTGTTCAGTGCCTTGTTTACTCAGTAAATATTTGTTGCATTGAAATAAGGTAATTAGAAGGAATATTTGTAATCATTATGAACAATCCCTGGTTTTATGTTCCTGTTTTATATACCTGTCATTGAAACTTTTCTGTTAAAGAAAACCTGGCTTAAAAGGCCAAATAGTTCAAAGAATGTGATATTGGCTGGGGATATATATTACTCATTGGTAGAGCACTTGCCTAGTATTTGGAGGCCTTAGGTTTGTTTCAACCCCTAGTTCTGGGAGGAAAAAAATATATATTCAATAAGTACTATGTTCTCCCAACTTTTCTCTGAAGATTTTTAAAAAATATATTTTTTAGTTGTAGTTGGAAACAATACCTTTATTTCAATTATTTATTCTTATGTGGTGCTGAGGCTGGAACCCAGGGTCTTGCATGTGCGAGGCGAGCACTCTACTGCTGAGCCACAACCCCAGCCCCTTCTCTGAGGATCTTTGAAACCTGAGATACACTCTTCTGCTTCCCCTCCATCCTGTGTGGCACCTCCCCATCCCATCCAGCTTCATGTTTTCACTACCGCCTGCAAGGGTTCTGATGTGTTCCTTGTATGAAATTTTTAGGATTTTGCTGAATCAAAGGATGTTCTCTATCTGATATTAGGCAGATTCTAGGAACATACATGTTCCATGTTCTAAACAGAACACTTGTATATCAAGTACAGTATTCATCTATAATTTATTTTTTATTTTACTTTTTTATTCAAGAATAGAAGGTCAGTGGCATAGATGTTCTTCTATATTTTGTCTTATACAAGTGTTATAAAAAAATCTAATAAAGTATTTTAAAGCAAAAAAATTTTTTAAAAAGTTCTATGAGCTGGTGATATAGCTTAGAGGTAGAACACTTCCCTGTGTTTGCGAGGCCTGGGGTTTGAGCCCCAGCAGTGAGCACCAGAAAAATAATGTGACATTGGTAGATATAGAGTTTTAGAATTTTTTTTTGAGTGTTTTCTTGTAGTTTCTATTCTTTATTACTGTTAGAAATGGGTTTTCTCTGATGTTCTTGTTTTAACTTCATGATTGTTTAAATCTATTTTAGCACTCTTTTTTTTTAAATCAGTTCTAGTACAAGGGATAGAAGCATCTGTGGTGAACAATAGACGATTATACTTTTGTTAGTAGGCAAGAATAAGAACATGAGTAATAAAACAGTGAAGCACTGGAGGGGAATAATATTAACCCATGTTAATTTTCTATCAGGAGCAGTAAGCAGCAGCTCCTTTTCAGTTTTTATAAGCTATGCAATGGGATCCTGGTGAGGGACTCAGTATCATAAAGCTTGGAAGGATTTAAGTAAATAAAGTATTGAAATAACAAAGTCTCTTTATGAAAGGGACATTAAGCAAATTAGAATTTCTGAAAATAGGTGAAAGAAATTGAATTTTTACTAGATGCTTTAAATTTTAAAGGAAAATCTAAGCAGAATACCCCCCCCATAAAACTAAAATAAAAAAAACTCAAGAAAGGGGGGAAAATGGTCTTTAAAAATCACTCAGCTTAAATAAGCGGGAGGGTACAGAAAAGAGGGTATGCTTTATTAGGGTGCTAGAAAAATTGAGAGAAATTGCTAAAGTTTCATCCAGAGCTAAATAATACCTACCATACATTCATTCTGGAGCACTATTTTTTGTAAATACAAAACCCAAGTTTAACCTAACTAAATTTAACCTAACTGAGGATTACAGATACCTGGACAAATAGTACAGTTGACTGTAAATTATGATATTTGTGATCCTTGGTACTCAAGGGAAATAAGAACTCAAGTCAATTTTCACTGTGCTCAGAGAAGGCCTGAACCATTTACTCCAGTAGAACAAATAGTACTTCTTTCCTTAACCCATCTTGCAAAAGTAAAGCCAGAGGAGGTATGGAGTACTGTTCCTTTGAAGAAGGAACTGTTCATCTCCAAAGGAACGGTTTTACCTTCAAAGGAACAGTATTCATTACTAACTAAGACTAACTCTGCTTGTGACTAAACTTGTTTCGTATGCTCAGGAAACATACAGGCCTGCCCTCTAGACTTAGGCAAGTGGGCAGTACTAAGAGCTACCTCTGCCCCACCCTTAATTCTGACATTGAGAGGACATCACAAGTAGCTCCTTGGAATTGCCATGGACTGGTGTAAAGGAAATTCACCATAAAGGCTGGTTCAAAGTCTTACTTTGTTTTTCAGCATATCAATAGATTGTTGAAGGGAAACTTGCCAGCAGAGCCCTGTAACAAAAAGAAATATAAAATGAAGTGTTCTAAAAATAGACTCAATTTACATAGTGGTAATGGCACATATCTATAGTAAATGCTTATTTGGAATTTATTTGAAATACAAATTAAATTGGGCATCCAGTATTTTATTTGTTAAAACTGTCAACCTTCATTCTAAGAAAGGACTATGTCTTCCTTACCACAAAGAAATATAAAATACACTATTACTGATCATAATAGAAATGATTATATCAAATGCCTTCTACCAATTCAAGTTTATTTATATTTTTTTGAACTGTAAGAGTGGATAGTCTAACTGTGCTAAGGAATTGCATCTTAGAATTGCATTTCTGTTTATGAAATTAATAGAGGATAATTTTTATTATCATTTTTATTAGAGCATTCTAGTTATACATAGTAGCTGAGTTCATCCCGGCAGAATGATACATTCTTGAAATGTGACCCACTCCGTTTCATTCCCAGTTCCTCCCCTCACACTTGTGCTTTTCACACTCACATAAAAGTAAAATTCCCTGTGGTTTATCTATATATGCACATGATGTGAGTTTGTTAAATTCACTCTACATTTCTTCCCATTTCCCATCCCTCCTTCCACCCTTCCAAGTCCTTTTCTACTCACCTTCCCTATATCTTTATGATATCCATCCTCACCCGCCACCCTTTCCTTATTATTAAGCTCTAGCTTCCAATATGAGAGAAAACATTCAACCCTTGAATCTAGCTTATTTCACTTAGCATTATATTCTCCATTTCCATCCATTTACCAGCAAATACCATATTTCATTCTTCTTTATGGCTGAGTAAAACTCCATTGTGTTTACCACATTTTCTTAATTCATTCATCCATTGATGGGCATCTGGACTGATTATAATTTTTTTTAATTAAAAAAAACTATAGCACTGTACATATCTCCCCAGTGAACTTTCATTATTGCTGAAGAAAGCTGACATGAGCTCAGTTCAATACCCACTGTGACACGTACTTCACATTACTGAGGCCCAGAGCAATCATTGCTGCATTTGATAAGACACTGAACAGCACTGAAGTTTTTTTCCTGCATGTGATTATGAGATGGACATACCAACTTTTGTGTTTTGGAGCATCTGAAGTGGAGAAATTCTGAATGAGATACCAATCTATTTTACCTGCTATGTTAAAATGTCAAAGCCATATTATTATTTTAAAAATGAAGTAAAGGGTACATTGGAAGATAATACAGTTTTTACATTAATGGACCTTCTAGAGTCCTGGATTTTTCAAAATGACTGGACAACAATCTTCTTTATAATTTTCCTAGGCATTATTTTTGAAATAATACTTATAAAAATTTGTGCGTTCTTTAAAAAGACGGTGCTTCCAGAAATAGATAGTTCAGTTTCCTGGGAGGTAAGAACAAATGTTGACTTCTCCCACTCCTATTTTTCAGAATTACACATCAGAATAATTAGTACCATTTTTTAACTGATATTTAGATTACTTTACTAATAACATTTATTTATTCATTTATTCTCCTGGAATAGAGTGAAGATAGTAGTTGCCTGAAAAGGAAGAAATTTGGTAAATATCACAGAATTTCATATTTTAATATGAAATTTATTTAGCATGAATTACTTCCACTAATACTGTGACTTTTTGATTCCCATTTAGCTCTAGGGAATCAGTCCATCATTCCACCATCTTCTGAAGAAGGGTAAGTGATACATTTTGAAATTAAATGAAATGGTTTGGTTGCATGCTATTAAAAAGTACATTCCTTCTGAATTTCAGAAGATTTTCTCATATGTATAAGGTACTATAGCTGTTCAACATTAGAATTCAATCTAACATTTCTTTTAAGTGATTGTTAGTTCCAAGTTGTATTAGGGACTTTTTGCGTATTTGTAAGATCCTTCAAGGTAGGTAATATTTTTGTTTTTACCGATAAGGAGGAATGAAGCTTGGAGAGACTCACTGACTTGCTTTCTTACTATAAATTCTTTCGCACTACACACAAAGTTGTTACCACCACTTCTTATACTCCATTAGAGAGAAAATAGGAAATTCATTTAGCATCTACTGTGGACCAGATCAACACTAAGTGCTACAAAATTGACTTAAAAGGACTTTATAAGATCAGAATCTTATCAGCATGCTAAAGGTAGCTCGGTGCTAGGGATGAAATACTGACATCATCACTACTATGGTTGCTATCAATATTTTAGTTGTTTTCATCGAAATTTGTTCAACCATTATTAGGTATATACTATATAATGGACACTATATATTTGATTGTGGGTTATTAAAGGTAAGATACTCTCTGATCTCAAGAGGCTTATATTTTTGTGGAGAGACATACACAAAGGCTCCTTGCCTTACAGTGCAGTAACAGTGACAAATATGACAACATTTAGGAGGTACTCACACCAGCCTTAGGATCTCAGGAATGGTTTCATGAAGGTTATGCTGGAGCTGAATTTTAGAGGACCAGTGAAAATTAGCCTGAAATAGAGAGTGAGGAAGATAAGAAAGGCATTCCAGACATGAGCGAAGGTGAAGAAGTAAGAAACAGCAGGCTATGTGAAAGAAATGGACAGTTATTTCAGAGTTGCGGTAATATTAACATTCAGTCAGGGATAGTAGTGGGGGATGGATGGGATGGGATAGACAAGATCAAATCATGAAGGGCTCTCTACACCACGTTAAGAGGCTTAGACTCTGTAGACAGTGACCACCAAAAGCTGCTCAAAGCATAGGAGCTTGTGTTTTAGCAAGACCACTTTAAAAAAAAAAATATATATCTAAAAGTTCATATTTGCATTCAGTTAATCAAATTGTGGCATCCAGATAGATGTTTACTACAAAATTCCACTTGATGAATATAGAAATAATTAAAAAAGAGAAAACTATCGGAGCTGGGGATGTGGCTTAGAGGTAGAGCATTTGCCAGACGTGTGAGGCACTGGGTTCGATTCTCAGCACCACATATAAATAAATGAATAAAATAAAGGTCTATCAACAACTGAAAAAAAAGTAAACTTTCACTAAACAAACATCACAGTAATAATTAATACAGGCAAAATTTGCCATTGCATGATTAAACCAGGTGGAGAAATTATTATGAGAAACAAGATATTTATATAGCTTCAAAATAATGGCTTAATTATAAAGGGAAAAATAATGAATTTAACAGTTAAATCTGTCAGACAACACATGTAAACCAAGAATCAAGTTGGGAATTATCAATTATCAATAACATGTATTGAGGTGCTAAAAAGAAAATATACTATTGTTTCTCTACGAACACGAATAATGTCATTCTAATAATGAAAAATCACTAGACAAAACAACATTTTGCACATTAACTGATTAGTTAGTTACCTTGAAAACTGTGAATGTGATGAAAGAAAATGAAAACTCCAAAAATTATGTGCTAAGAGTTAGTACATATCTATTTTGTAGATCCCAAAGTTTGTTGCTATTTTGTTTTCTTAGTCTTTGTTCTTTTTTTTTTTTAAGTTTGTTCATTTTATACACATGACAGTAGAGTATATTTTGACATTTTGTACACACCCAGAGTATGACATATTTTAATTAGAATCTCATTCTTGTGGTTGTACATGATGTGGAATTTCACTGGTGGTGTATTCATGTATAAACATAGGAAAGTTATGTCCGGTTCATTCCACTATCTTTTTTGAAGAATGAATAAAAGATTGCTTTGCGTTAGTCTAATTTCTTTTATGTGCCAGTTTATAGGGCTTTTAAAATTTATTCAGGTCACTTTATGTAGTATTGGGTCCTAGTGGCTATAGTTATGAAGTGGGTATCTTAAGAAGCTGGAGCACTCTCTGAAGGTACAGGTGGATAGGATCTGTGTTGGGACAGGTGGGGAGCTGGGATGTGACTGTGGTACCTCAGTCCCACAGAATAGACCCGGCTATACTGACCGAGTCAATGTTTGAGGCATTTCAGGGCTAAGGCAAACACTATGACCCAAGCTTCACATAGAATTCAAAGCCAAAGGGTTCACAGGTAAGAGGAAATCTCCACAGAAATGGGAGAGAAAGATTTTCTCCTTCAGAGTTAAGGAGACAAGAGCCTGCCCACTCTTCATGCCAAGCTTCCTTTCCTATCTAGGCAGGATTAATTCTTCAGTAGCTCCTTTCTAGGGGATACTAACAGAGGGCAAGCAGTCACCCCTGAACTGAGATTTTACTTTCCATGATTTCAGTTACCCAGTGTCAACCATGGTCTAAAAATGAACAAAACTCAAGAAATAAACAGTTTAAGTTTTAAATTGCACACCATTCTGAGTAACATGATAAAATTTCACGCCAACCCTCTCTGTTCTGCCCAAGATGTGCATTATCCCTTTGTCCAGCATATCCAGGCTATCTATATGCCATCTTCCTGTTAGCCACTAAGTAGCTGTCCTGGATATCAGCTTGACTGTTACAGTATCACAGAGCTGTTCAAGTCATCTTTAGGAGAGCAGTGAGGCTGGCAATAGTAGATATGCAAAAGAGGAGCCAAACAGTGTTTTGTTTAAGTGAAAAGGTGAAAGTAAACAAGATTTTTTGAAAGAGACCACATTCACATAACTTTTATTATACTATATTGTTTAAATTTTTTACCTTAGGGGGCTGGATTTGTGGCTCAGGGTGGAGGGCTTGCCTCACATGTGTGAGACACTGGATTTGATTCTAGCACCACATATAAATAAATGAATATAAAAAAGGTCCGTCAACATCTAAAATTTTTTTTTTAATTTTCTACTTTACTATTAATTGTTGTTAATCTACTAGTGGGCCTAATTTATAAATTAAACTCTAGGGAGTTCCGTCCTTAGCACCACAAATAAATATTTAAATAAACTTCATCATAGGTAGATATTATAAGAAAAAGATAGTATATATAGTTTTGGTATTATCAGAGGGGTCTTGGGAATAAGGGTGGGCTACTGTAGAAGAAGAGATTAGTGCAATGACATAAAGAGAAGTAATAGGGAAGAGAAACAGCTCCTGTAGCAGCAGCATCGTGTGGAGAAAACCCAAATATTGGAATAAAAATGGTGTAAATTCATATTGCCTCTTAACTGATGACATGGATTTGGGCTAATAGTTTAAAGTCACTATACCCCCTTCTCCTTATTTTCAAAATAGGAGTTAAAACAAACTGTTAGGGTTATTATCAAGATTGGTTAAAATTACGTCGTCCGTAACAAGGCACAGATATTTTATCCTAGCACCAGAATTTCCTTTCTGGGACAGAACTGTATTTGAAATAGCATCTTAAAAGATTAGTTTGGGGGTAAATATTTGCTCCCAAGATGTAGGCTCTCTGTTCACCTCATAGATTCTTTCTTTTGCTGAGAAGAACTTTTTTAGTTCTTCTCATTTAAGTTTTAAATTGCACACCATTCTGAGTTCATCCGGTTTATTGATTCAACTTTTTTGAGTTCATCCATTTATTGATTCTTGATTTTAATTCTTGCACCACAGGAGTCTTAAATCTTTATCCCCCATACCCTAACATCTAGGGTATATGAAGAACTCAAAAAGCTAAACGCCAACAAAATAAATAACCCAATCAATAAATGGGCCAAGGACCTGAACAGACACTTCTCAGAAGATGATATTCAATCAATCAACAAATACATGAAAAAATGTTCATCATCACTAGCAATTAGAGAAATGCAAATCAAAACCACTCTGATTTCATCTCACTCGAGTCAGAATGGCAGCTATTATGCACACAAACAATAAGTGTTGGTGAGGATGTGGGGGGAAAGGTACACTTGTATACACTGTTGGTAGGACTGCAAATTGGTGCAGCCAATCTGGAAAGCAGTATGGAGATTTCTTGGAAAATTGGGAATGGAACCACTGTATACCCAGAGGACTTAAAAACAGCATACTATAGGGACACAGCCACATCAATGTTTATAGCAGCACAATTCACACTAGCTAAACTGTTGAACCAACTTAGATGCCCTTCAGTAGATGAATGGATAAAAAAAAATGTGGCATATATACACAATGGAATATTACTCAGCAATAGAAGAGAATAAAATCATGGCATTTGCAGGTAAATGGATGGAGTTAGAGGAGATGATGCTAAGTGAAGTTAGCCAGTCCCCAAAAACCAAATGCTGAATGTTTTCTTTGATGTAAGGAGGCTGATTCATAATGGGATAGGGAGAGGGAGCATGGGAGGAATAGATGAACTCTAGATAGGTAGAGGGGTGGGAGGGAAAGGGAGGGGGCATTGGGTTAGAAATGATGGTGGAATGTGATGATCATTATTATCCAAAGTACATGAATAAAGACAAATTGGTGTGAATACACTTTGTATACAACCAGATATGAAAAATTGTGCTCTATGTGTGTAATAAGAATTGTAACGAATTCTGTCATTATAAATAAAAAATAAAGTTTTATAATAATAAATTATTTTAAAAAGATTAGTTTTAAGTAGAAGGGTTTGAATATTGTTAGAAGCCCAAACCACAAAATGGTTAGTACACTGCATTAGAGACCCACTGAGTAGATTTTTTTCTAGCTTATAAAATGGAAGAAAGAGAAAAGTGGGGCAACACATAAAGGAAGGAGATGAAATTGAAACTGGTGTGAGACTCAGGTCTGTATGGCCTGAAGGGTAGATCCACCTCTGAAATCAGAGGAGCCAAACTGGCTTGGCATAATCTCAGTAAGAAAGCAAATTGCTGGTTTTACGTGGGATTTAGGGGGTTGCTTATTTCAGAGTTGGCATTGCTTATAAGTGCATATCATTGGAGAATCTACTATCAGTTACTTAACTTTCAAAGCTTGAACCTGTCACTGCCTGTTGGTTTCAGAAGTGTATTTCCTGAAGTGAGTTATCATTGATAAAATAGTTTAAAAGCAGATTGGATGTTTATTTTTTACTGACTATTGAGCTGCCATTGATGGATTTAATTGACTTAAAACCAGCTCTGTTACTACTTAATATGGCTATACAATTATCAGTCTTTTCCTAGGAAGACTGGGTGTTCCTATTAAATTCAAAGGCCAGTGCAGATTTTCTGGTGAGGCAGAGGCTAAAGGACATTTCACAAATAGGAAGACATACCTGGTGCTTAAGTAGGAGCTACATCCATTCCTATAAAAACCAATCTGTGTCTGCCTCAAGATTCTCAGTAAAGTCAGCCACATTTATGAGTAGTTTATTTCAGTTATATGAAATTGAGGAAAGGGTTGGATTATGTATTCACATCAGCTTGTTTTAGAGGAAGGTAGCAATCAGAAGCCTGGTGGGGAATGACTGACTACACAGCAATATTTATTGCCAGGCATTGTTCTAGGCTCTTTAGGTACATTAGTGAACAAAACAGAGATTCCTGCCTTCTTTTTTCTTTTTTTTTTTTGGGGGGGGGGAGGGCGTTGCTGTCCAATAATGAACAATAACATAACAAATTGTCAAAGGTGATATGTGAAAGCAGGGAAAGCCATGCTGGCCTG